GCTTCTTTTACACACACACACACACACACACACACACATATATATATATATATATATATAAAGATATTTTTATGTTTATACATTCTTTTTATAGATACAAATGCTTAAGTAAATGCTCTGCTTATAATAAACAGTATTAACGACATTTATCGGTCTGAATGTCCGGGAAATTACCATAGAAAATCGAAGCTGCATCCTTAACGGAACCGTCATATAGCCTGACGTGATTTACCGATTGAGCCACAGAGGAACGTTTCGGTTAGCAACGTCGCTTTTACTGTTGTTCAACTACAATTCTCCATAATTTTCTCTCGTAGATTCATATCTACTCGATCGGCTAGCAAGGTCGAATTTACTTTTACGATTTTAAACTTCAATCATCCATGAATCTCTCACGTACATTCATGTCTGCTCATGGCGTATCAAATGTAAACAAATGACGTCACACATTATGAAATGGACAAACTTGTGCGTATAAAAAATAGATTTACAAACGTAGAGGGCAAGTTCCTCACAACAAGACAAATATCTATATAAGGATATGTGTGCAAATCGTTGGTTTTTGAGTTAAAATTTATGTTTAAAATTTACGGTAGAAACTCTTAAATGTACAATCCAAGATATAATCCCAAATCCTTATTACTATAGTGCGTGCTGTCACGGATCCTGTCTCAGCAATGCGACGATAAACAATAGCAAATGTTGGATGACTTGATGCCTTTTATGGAAGCGAAATCTGATATCGCTGTGCAGCCCGTGTCCATTGCCATTCGCGCGAATAGTTAAACGGAACACTTCTCAGTTAACTCACCACTACGCATCTTAAACGTTGGCGACAGAGTAGGCACAAATATACTCGAATGATAAATGTAACTTTAGTCTATATTGCAACACAGCGACATCTACCGTAAACTTTCTTTATAACGAAGGATTTGCAGTGATATAATTAAAAGAAATTTTGCCCTTGGTAGTAAATGTCATTTACACACACACACACACACACACACACACACACACACACACACACACACACACACACACACACACACTCTCTCTCTCTTTCTCACCATATATATATATATATATATATATATATATATATATATTACAAGAACAAACATTATCTATGAGTTCAAATGCCCCTTAAGGAACTGTGTTCCTGATCAAACCGGACTCATAAAAAATTACATCAGTTACACAATCACATGCTTATCCAGACGTTTTCCGTTACACCTATCTGATCACAGCTCCATTAGAACCCATTTAAACACACACAGAAATTTAACAGACTCCATTAGAAACATGCAAGTAGAAAACACAAATATAATAACTGCATCCACCTGTAAAAAAAAGACTAAAAATAATGGAAGCTTTAATAATAAAAAAGAAAAAGCCAACTCTTAGCAATATTAACTACGAACAAAGCCACAATGTGCTAACCGTATTCGTTAATTAAAAACATCCCTACCAAACACTAAGACATACACAGAACGCACACACTCAATTAAGCTGAAAAATCAAATCATCCTTGATAATGGCTAAAGGTATAGCCGAAAGTGCTCGGAAAGATAAAACATTTGGACAGTTCTTACACACTCTTTGTCCACACTCTTTGTTAGAACACAAGAAAAATTAAATAAAAGCTTAACCGTAGTACCTTGTCTCTGGTTTTTAATTAAACACCCATAAACATAAACATATATATATATATATATATATATATATATATATAGCCATACATATAGCCTTCATTAATACCATATTTTTTCATAGATATATATATATATATATATATATATATATATATATAATATGATATATATGGTTTTAATGTATGGTATACTTTATGGTTAAACGTATTTAATATGGCTAAACGTGGGATAGAACAACACGTGCCAATAGAATCCATCATTTTTTCATATCTATCTATCTACCTCTCGCTCTCTCACTCTCTCTCTCGCTCTCTCTCTCTCTCTCTCTCTCTCTCTCTATATATATATATATATATATATATATATATATATATATATATATATATATATATATCTATGTACATCTATGTGCGTCCTCATGCTAAACAAAACTATTAAGTAAAGACAATCCTTAAAAATGTATTTCGGTTATAATTTATATATTTGTATTATTATCTATTTCGTGAATATATTCATCCCTTCATTAGAAATGATATCAATTTTCTCAGACAAAAGGATGAAGCAGAGAGAAAAATAAAGAAAAAGGAAAAAAATATTTATTCAAAGAGGAAAAAGAAAAATACAAATTTCAATATATTTTTTTTAAATTGTGGAAGACAGAAAGAGAGAGAGGGGTGAAGAAAGAGAGAGTGGAGAAGGAGAAGGTGAGAGAGGGAGGGAAGGAAAAGAAAGGAATGATGGAAGAATTAAATGTAAGCCGATAGGTTGACCCAGAAATTAATTTTTCCTTAAAGGGCTGAACAAGTTAAAATAGAAGTTAATGGATTGGGGGTAATAAGTCTTAAAATAGATACAGTAATATGTCTAATAGTCATAAGATTTCAGACAGCAAAAACTCATCATTGCATTATGCTCATCACAATTTTAAATTAATAATAATAATTCTTCTTCTTCTTCTTCTTCTTCTTCTTCTTCTTCTTCTTCTTCTTTATTATTATTATTATTATTATTATTAATTTCAAATTGCGATGAGCATAATGCGCTGATGAATTTTTGCTGTCTGAAATGAAATAAGTTTAAATAAAAAATAAAAATAAATAATATAAAAATCAATTGAATAAATCAAGAGATAAAATAAAGAACAAATTTAAAGAAAAACTTAATATACACAAACACACGCTTATATATATATATATATATATATATATATATATATATTTATGGGATAGATGTGAGTTTTTATTATGTGAAAAGTGTATATAAGTATAAATAAATATATATATGTATAATTATTTATATATTATATGGTTGATACTTAATAGAAAGTGCTCAATATCAGATATAGAGCTAACATATTTGGTTGGATAGATATATTAGCTCAATCTTATATATATATATATTTATTTATATTTATATATTTTCACACATATATATATATATATATATATATATATATATATATATATATATATATATATATATATATATACTATATATGTTATCTTTACGGAGTTGAGTTGTTATCTATGAATTTTTTTTTTTAATTTTCTTAAACAGTGAATAGTCGGGCCAGATATAGAAATGAAGCCTAAGAAAAATCCGACACCTCGACAGGAATCGGACTTGTAACCCCTTTTTCCTATTTTGAAACGGCTTTTGCACCCAAAGTGTGCCTCTAACAATCTATTCACGGAGACGAGTGTGGAGCAATGTTTCAATGAGCTTTTTAATTTCTGTCAGGGGTAATTTTTTTATTAGTAAGACTCCTCGATCTCGGCCAGTTGTTATTAACTTCCTATTTAAGAAATAAAACACATCAGTAACATTAAAATGACAATATATATATATATATATAAATATATATATATATATATATATATATATATATATATATATATAAAGGGAAGAGGTTATAGTATTTTCAACGAGAGAAAAGTGTGTATAATAAAAAAGAAGAGAGAAACTGCAAACGTGTTGGGTGGTAATGTCGAATTTTTAACAAAAATATTATGGATTATTTTCCATAATTTTGCTACACGCGTTTCTGGTCTCGCGACCCTTATCAGGCAAAGTATGGATATTTCCACATATTATTATATTGAATTAATTTTTCTTACGTTTTTCGATCTTAAATATTCTCGATATTAGACATTCTCTTTTTGTGTGTTAGTGACCCAAGTGTCTTCCTTGAACTGGCAGTGAAAAAGTTCTGCGTAAGGGATAAGGAAACAACCCCCGCCCAATACTAAATTAACTGTGTTTCTTTTTTGCAGGGTTTAAGATAAGATGTTTAGCCATCTTGACAACGCTTATCGTAACAATTACTAAAATAACACTTTGGATCATTCAGCTTGAAAGAGAAGAGTTTGAATTCCCAACTGAGCAATGGTGAGAGAAAAAGATCATTCAGGCCTTTAGTAATGATTCCAACATTCATACAGTGTCTTTCATCTCCAAATTCCATTCAAGAACCATCAAGAGAACGTTGAATAAGATTACAAAAGAGGGAACAGTAGAGAAGAAAACTCTTTCAGTCGGTCACAACAGCAAGAGGTATCATCAATTCAACTTAGAGATTATTGTTCAAAATAGAGTTCAATAGTGTTATAAAGCCACTGAGAATTCCAGTAAGATATATTTAATCATTTCTAACATAGAACAGTTTCAAGGCTTAATCTAACAATTGGACATTTTTGCTGTTACACCCAGTATACTATAGACTTAACACTCGGACAAGGCTCTTGACTCTACTATACGTCCGTCGGTATTCATGACGGACACCAGCCAATCATATTCAATGAGGGGGAACACAGGTGTACGCATACTCCATTATATCAATATATATATATATATATATATATATATATATATATATATAATATCACTTTGTTCACATCTATCTATCTATCTATCTATCTATCTATCTATCTATCTATCTATCTGTCTGTCTGTGTATTCCATTCTGTTTTTATTTACATACTTACCGTCCCTTTCAGATCTGTATATTTTTCCAGTTTTACAGATGATTGGCTATGTTCTGGGATGCATCCATTCCTTCAAGTACAGGATGAAAGAATTACAAAACATTGGTAAGTAAAAAGTCTTGTCGTACGCACACAGACGCAATTCTACTCGGTGCCAATGGATATTTCACTTTTCAAGCTATCCTATGAAAAGAAGTCGTTAATCTGTATTCCGTTCCAAAGTTCAGCAATTGGGGAAGGCTATAAAGTGTCGAGTTTCTGAAGTCTAAGACTACGGTGAAAGCCCAAAACTTTTAATATAACAAAAAAATAGCAAGATTGATTTCCGCAAGAATTTTTACGATTTTGACCCAGTTAAACAAATTTACTTTAATAACTTTCTTTCCTCTAGCAATAACTGACAGCGTCTGGGTAGAAGAAGACGAAGACGACGACGACGACGAAGGAGAAAAAGAAGAAGAAGAAGGAGAAGAAGAAGGATAAGAAGACGAAGAAGAAAAGAAGAAGGAGAAGAAGAAGAATAAGAAAAGAAGAAGAAGAAGAAGACGAAGAAGTAGAAGAAGACGAAGAAGGTGACGAAGAAAATTGATAATAAATTAATGTAGGAAAGAAGTAAATAAAGAAAGGGAAGATGAAAATAAAATGAAATAGATTTGATCAGAAAAGATAAAATGAAAGAAGACGAATAATAATGAGAAGAAGAAGAAAAAGAAAAAGAAGAAAAAGAAAAATAGGAAAATCGATGGAAATAAATGCAAAAAATAATTAAACGAAGAAAATTAAGAAAAGAAATATAATTTAGATAGAAAAAGACGAAAGAAGAAGAAAAATAAGGAAATCGATGAAAATTAATGCAAAAAATAATTAAACGAAGAAAAATAAGAAGAAAAAAATCATAATTTCGATAGAAAAAAGCAAAGAAGAAGAAGAAAAATAAGAAGGAGAAAAAGAAAAAGGAAACTTGGAAAATCGATTAAAATGAATGCAAAAATAAGTAAATGAAGAAAATTAAGAAAAAAAAATGAAAAAAACAATTTCGATATAAAAAAAGAAAAGATGAAGAAACTGAATAAAAATATAAATAAAAATGAAGAGGAGAAAGCAAAAAATGAAGGAAAGCAGGGTTAACTAACTGAAACAGTTGTAAAAGTAAAAAGACAAAACAAAGAGGAACAAAAGAAAGAAAAGAACGAAAAATAGAGACAAGGAGCGAAGCAGACGACATGTAACGTAGAATAAAGCAAACAAGAGAAAGTGAAACGTAAGAAATCAATGAAAAAAGGAAGAGAGGAAGAAAAACCTAAAGTATAGACAGGGAGGGGGTATAAAGAGAGGACGGATGATGAAATGGGAGAGCGAAAAGGAGGAAAAAAAGGTATATAAGTTTCAAATGAGAGAGAACAATGACGAACAGAAAGAACAAATAAAGATTGAATTATATATTAAGTAAAAGGAAGAGGAAAGCAGAGTAAAAAAGAAAGTAACACGTAACTCAGTTCATGAAACAAAAAGAACGAGAACAAGACATTGTGTAGAATGTTAAAATATGAAAGAGGAGGCGAAAGAAATGGGGAAGAGAAAGAAGGAGAGAGGAGAGACAATAGGGAGGGAATGGTAAACAAGATATTCTTATGCCCACACAATATTTCTACTCTGTCACTCTCTTCGCATCCTCGTCGACATTTTCGGCCCAAATCACCAATTTTCGCGCCAACGAAGTAAAATAGATTACCAACTTTACATATATATATATATATATATATATATATATATATATATATATATATAATGGTAACACATTAGGGCCATTGGCACTAATCTCTTACCATTATGTGGGAGGTCTTACTGCGAGGTATATGTTGGAACGATTTCTACTGCATCCTGTAGTATTGTCCACACAATACATGGCCCAAAAGCCACTTAAGGTAGAGGGTTACGGGATTACCTTATTTTAACGACATACAAGATGGAAATAAGTTGACCCGAAGATATTAAGTTCGTAATGATTGGGCTTTTCATTGATTGATTTTTTTTTATTTACGGTTTATCAATCTTTTGCATGTTATTTAAAGCCAGAAAAATATTTTTATTAGATTGTAAAAAAATTGAGAGATAATAATGATCTATTTATACAAGTCCTACTAATTAACCCATAGCCGGGGGAGAGGATGTGTAATCAAAACTTTAGTAAAGTTGTTTGCGCGTAAGTGAATCTAACGAAACCAACGGGAATTGGGAGTCGCATCTCTGATTAACAATTCTGAGTTGTTATGCATTATACCACCGCTCATCCAAACTAAAACTTCCTGGTACTTCCCAAGTGGGCACCGATCTAGTTACCAACCGTGCTCGACGTTGCTTAACTTCAGTGATGGTATGATAACTGGTGTTTCAACGTGATATGGCCGTAAGCTTAATTAATGAAGAAGCATACTTCCAGGACTCTGTTCCACAAAGTAACAGTTCTGGAACTTCCTCTTTACAACTGGAATACAAACAGAATGAGGATGAGTCGAATTGTGTACATGAAATGTCGGCCCTAGCTGTGAATGCCTGAACTGGTGCAATTAAATAATATAGCGTCTGAATATTTTCTATGGAAATAAAAATAAAATAACGAGAGACTAGCAATGTTTAGTCTATGAAAAAAGAGATGTCGGGGAAAATAATTCATCACTCACAAGGCCGCGTAAATGTGTTTGACAGAATACACCATTTATGGTTTGATATGACTGACCTCTTGTAAAGACAGCATGGTAGGAAGTGTCAGGCACTTTCTCGAGCTGTACAAAGAACCGATCATTTATTCCAGCATTTTTAATGACGGTTATTATAGATGAGTTCCAATTGAGATAAGGAGCAAATAGACGTTCAAGACAAGATGCTTGATTTTAACATAATATTCCTTTTATCAACTACGGGAACTCACATTGTATACTTTACAGTGCAAATGCATAAAATTGGATTGTCGCTGGTCAAGAATTAAAAAAAAAAAAAACACTATTAAACGAAATAAACTTGGTTGGTTAATAAAGTCTGAGGAATAAAAAGACAACAAAGTCGGAATTTTGGTACCCGCTTGTGTCCTTTTTCAATGAAATCAGGAATAAACCAAGAAGGGCGAGATATGCTGTTGTAGTTGCTGTTGAATAGTTGGCTCCCTGTTGAGATTATATTCTATGACTAAGCATAAATCCCTATTTAATCCTTGTGTATGTGATTTTATTTTGAAAATATATTTCCACTTCGATCTGCGTCTTTCTTGTCGGCTGTTGAATGAAAACACTAAAGAACGCATCCGTTGTCATCTATGCTATGGAATGGTTGGTTGAAGGGCGTAGTGACAGGCAAAATTGTTGGTGTTGTTTTTGTTGTTTAATATACATATATATATATATATATATATATATATATATATATATATATATATATATAAAAATTTTTGTCTAAATTACACAAAATGAAAATAATACAGACATCTGATTTTAACAGATATATTTACCAAAATTACACAAAAACAATTTCTTGAAATAAAATCGACATTGGATTCAACCACGGCCTACAAACGACTTAGGAACCTCCTGCAACTCTTGTGGGTGTTCTCCTTTTTTAAGTTGGTGAAGAAGTATAAGAGTGAGTTTTCTGAGCTTCCGTAATCACCATACAACCATTTCTGAAACTATGCAATGTCTTCAGTTTGACACCCATATTCTCTGTATTGGAGCTTCGGCCGCGATTGCTAAGCAGAAGAGCATTTGGTTTTCAAAATTCTGGCGGAATTGCGACATGTGCTCATGTGCTTCAGCGGGAAAAATCTGCCTCGTCAATCATGTCTTGAAAGATACATGATCGCCTGAGCGTATGTCATGTATGGCACATAATTGACTGAGGGAAGGACAGTTCTGTGGCCTGTACGTTCCCCCGACGTCAATCCTTTGCATTTTTATCTGTGGGCTCATCTAAAACAATTGTTTTATGCAAAAGACATTAATAATGCAGAAACGCCCTGACAACGTGCTGAGGGTGGGATGCGACCCCATTCAGCCAAATGTGGGAGTATTTGAAATGATCCGCCACAGTCAATGATCTACATGCGTGTGTAGAAGCAACCGGGGGACATTTTGAACATAAATGTTGCTGTGTTGAGGTAAAACGTTGTTTATATGGACATTTTACCCAGGAACCCGCCCCCGAAGTTTGTAAAATTACACACACACACACACACACATATATATATATATATATATGTCTGTGTGTGTGTTATTCTTTCCTATTTCGTCTAACTTTTTTACATGTAGAGATAGCATTTGCGTTTGTTACTCTTGCAATCTTTTGAATTATATTTGCTGTTAACTGGAAATGGATTGTTGTATGTATTTCGCATTATAGAATGTTTTGTTTTTAAAACAACGTCAAAATATTCTGTCCATGTTCATAGTTGATATTACTGAGTGTTGTTTTTGCTTTTATTAATAAGGCTTTATTATTTTTAGTTTTTTACATGTAGACGATGCTATTATATTTTTATTATCAACAAGTATGTTGCGAATAGGGTCCGGTATGTCTCCGTGTATATTTAAATGAGAACAAATTGAGCTATGAACAGAAAGATGTGGTGTGAGGCTTCTTGTCAAACATGTTGTAGTGTGGCCTATATAATTGTTTACAAATTTTGATTGAACAGGAATACAATTCCTTAATGGACATTTAAATTCGTAAATAATATTCTATTTAATTTTGATCGAAGAGCTGAATGATTATTTTTAACTGTGTGATTGGTAGTTTTAAATTGTTTGTATTAAATAATTAGTCTAATTTTTTTGCTCATATCTAGTGATGATTTCATTTTTCTATAATGTTCTTAAGTCTAGTTTCATCTTGTTTGCAATTACCATTCGTCTGATTTCTATAAAAAATATTAATATTGTTGTTTATGTTTGCATTCTCATGATTGCTATTAGCTACCTTAGATATGGAAAAGCTTAATAAGGAAATATATATATATATATATATATATATATAAAAGAAATATGTTGTAGTGGTTCCAACGAGAGAAAAGTATGTATATTAAAAATATGTATATTAAAAACACGTGTCGTGAAATTATGTAAAACAAAGTATAATATTTTTTCTCAATAAATCCACATTACAACCAAAAACGTTTGCGACACCCCTCTTTTTTTAATATATATATATATATATTTATATATATATATATATATATATATATATATATATTTAATTTCATTCAAAAACAGATAATCTTAAGAGTACATTGATTATATCTTATTTCCCCAGGAAAGTGATTTTTCCTTGTTCTTCAGATCACATTTCCAAACATAAAAAATGGTTTCAAGCTTTTGCGGAGTGGTTTTGAAGATGATGTCAGGTGATAGAGATAGGGGCAGGTAGAATACGACAGATATGGTCGAAATTAGAGAAGGAAGGGACAGATAGGAATAATTTTAAATCTATATTCAACAAACAACATTCAACAGCACATGAGATTTGATTATAGTGGTGAAGGTTTCGTGCAGGACCATCCACGCTTTTTAAAGGGCCGAATACAGAGACCTGGTGCACTACGTGCCACAGGGTCTCCCAACGACCCTCCGCAGGTTTTGAATTCAGAGTTGTCCTTCTCCTAGACCAGTTGCCATCCAAGGCTATAGAACCCAGTCTGTCCTGCTATTTACCCATAGCTGGATGGAGAAGAAGAGGATTCACACCTTTCCCAACGGTATTAGCAACGTAAGTGAATGTATTGGATTCGACTGAAATTCGAATTCGGCTCTCAGATTCCTAATATATATATATATATATATATATATATATATATATATATATATATATATCTTATATATATATATATTATTCGGATACTATTATTATTAAACACACACACATATACACTCACAAACACACACACACACATATATATATATAATTAAATTAGAAGAAAGAAATAAAATATGAAGTATTTGTAATTATAAATGGCATATGGTAAAGTAGAAAGTCTAGATTTGCTGTTATATTGAGCAAGATGGTTCAACTGCAATGATTTTGGTTCCCACTGGCTATCCGTCTATTCCTGGGACAGGCCTAAAATTAATCTGCGCAAGCAGTTCTTTTTTTTTAATGACTTTTATAACGTAATAGGGTTTTTTTCTTAAGCCGTGCAAATAGCGTTATGTTTATTGGAGCGGAATGTGTAACCGGCGATCC